ATATTCTAAAAGACCCTCTGAAATTCCTTTTATATTTCGACGAGAGCATGATCTTAACTTGTTGGTTCTTAATTTCTTCAAATTGGTTTACTTTATCTCTCCAAAAATGAGAAATAAGTAATAAATTTTTCATTTTATTTAATATAAATTTTAAGAGATTTTTCGATAATTAAGATATTTATTTTTCTTTTTTCAAAAAAATTAATATTATATTAGATTTAAAGAAACCGATAAATTATTATTAATATGATATGGTAATTAATCAATTTCCCGAATTTTCGTGATAATGATTAATTTAAAATTTCAACTTTACCTTTATTACTTAATTGTAGACAAGGGAATAATTCCAAGACAATGTTGATGGTAATAGCCTTAATTAAGTCTAAAAGATTGATAAAAATAATTTAGTTGTGGATAATTTAGACCATTTTTATATATTTATTTTTATATATTTACCTCGAAAATTTATTAATAAAACTTGTTGAGAAACCAAACCTAATATCTACTGTCATTTCTTTTTAATAATGAGAGTAACAATAACCAGGATTATGTATGCCATAAGTTCTTTTAAAGACCACAAGTTTCGTTAAATATATTATTGATTAAGTGATTTTTTTGAAGAGCTCTATTGTAGAAATATTTTAAATTAAAACATTACTATTCAAGTATGATCATGAAATACTACCTGAATATATTATTTTGTTTTACAGAAAATCATTTTGCTTTACTCTTTACAAATTGGTTTGTAGTTATATAATATAGATTTAATGTTCCAAAGTTTGTTTTAACTTGCTCTATAAAGAATAAATATTTACAAATATTAAAAGAGTGATCAATTACTAATTAATTAGGAAAAAAAAATTTCCAATCGGAGTCTTCGAAATTATGGCTCAAGCGATTATCACTGATAGTATCAATACAATGAATCCTATATTTGACTATTATGATTCGAACCTCGATTTTATTCTGATTTATCATAACTTTAACATGAAAGAAGGAAAAATTATCAATAACTACTAAATCTTCCATCCACTATACACTTAATAAATTCAAATATGCACTTAATTGGATAATGCATAAAATTACTAGAAATATTTTTTCTTAAATCCTAAATATAATTTAATTATCATATTGAGTCATATCTTTATGTGGAAATCGCAGCCAAAGAATTTATTTTTTAGCGATACTTTATAAGTTATTAATCCCCTCTTAAACTAAAGTAAAATATTCATTTTCTAATCATTTCTAGATTCTTTAAGATGTTGAAATACATTATTATAATTTTTAGTCATTTAAGGGTTTTATACTTAAGACTTTATTTGAAGAATTCCAAATCAATATTCAATGAATAATGAGGAAGTATTAGTACTATTGTAATTTTAGGTTAATAAACTAAACAAAAATATATTGTTTTTCATCATTCAATAATAGTTTATTTCCTATATATGAGCATTTCCTTTTCATATTAGAAGTATTCTAAATATTCTTAATTTAATCCGGAGCCTTTTAAACAAGATGACTAAATAAATTTTAGTTATTTCATGTTAAATTTGTTCTAGAAAAGAAAATGATATTCAGATTTTTCATATTTAAAATACCAATTATAAAAATCCAATATTTGGTTAGGTAATAATAAAGTTATTCATTCAATTTTTATGAAGGTCTCATTTTGTTTTGCTTCTAAAAACAGTTTATGATTAAGATGTTCTAATTTTGAAGTTTTAAATCACAAATGATTTTTTATTTATTAATTATAATTTTTGATAGAAAAAGAAAATTTTAATGAGATATACTTAAGCTGATCATTTAAATTAAGAAATAATTGGAGTTTGCATCGATAGTTAATGCAAATAGCAAAGACCTTATTGTAATTTTTGCCTGGCTAGTCATGGTCAACATTTGAACAAGTTAACATCATTAGAACTTTTAGATGATTTGATTTGTAAAAGAGTACTTATTGCCCAGAATTTTGAATAAAAGGCTTAGGTGTGCAAATTAGCCCTTGATAGTCTACTAAATAAATTTATTAATTTATACAATGTTAATTTGGTATAGTTACCTAAATTAGGGCTTTCATAGATTTAATTAATTAAAGGTTTAAGTTTAATTGATTTATGGGAGAAAACTTAACTTAACTAGTTCCTATAATCTATCGAATAAATTTAATAAATAGTTAAAGAAATTTTGGAAAACCAAAAAAAATAAACAAATTTGAGCTAAACAGATAATTTATAAATGTTAAAACCTTTGAGATCAAAGAATAGATTATTGAATAATAAATAAATCTAAATTTCATAAAGCCAAATCTAAGACCATTCACTTTTGAATTGATGAATTAAAATACTATTAAATAAGAAGTTGGTTGTTATGCAATCGCGATTAATAACGATAACTCAATTGTTTTAGCAGGGTGTGGTATGTAAATTAAAGTATTTCATCTCAAATAAGGAAAATTAAATGAATCATAGCTCTTAAGTTATCATTAACAAGATGTTTTAACACTAAACTTTATGAAGAAATCAAATCATTTTGTATCTGGAAGTACAGATAAACAATAGGTAGTTTATTATTGAATAATAATGAAAATTTTATTATCTCAGGCAGTTATGATTCATCTATTAAATTTTGGAATAAATAAAATGGATGGTTGTGTTAATAAACCATTAAAGATCATACTAATTATGTCTATTCATTAAGTTTAATTGAAAAGTAAGATAAATTGATCTCTTGTTCACTTGATTCATAAATATTCGTAATTGAATATTCTTAGAATGATTAGAAATGGAATGTGATTTAAAAGATAAAAGTAGAATAACATGGACGTCGATTAAGTTTTATAAATGATAATTAATTCACATTTTAACCTTATATTCAAGAATAAATGCATGTATATTATATAAATAGTAGAAATCAATAATTTTTTAAGTCCAAGCAAATTACTGTAAAATCTGGTTCACTTTGTTGTATTAATCAATTTCCATAATAATATTTAAAATGTAAATGTCTTTTAGTGAATAAAAATGGTTACCGTATCAACTTAATTAGAAAGTTATAAAACGGAGATTTTCTGACTGAATAAACTATTAAATTTGATCATCCTCATATTTTTGGTTAATTAAGTGATGATGGTGAATATTTAATCACTTGGGATTAGAAATCAAAAGAAATACAAATTAGAAAATGCGAGGAATTATGAATAATATTTAATATATATGAGATAATTAGAAAAAAATATTATAAAATTAATTAATGAGGTTTCTTCTCAAATAAAGCTTTATAAGACAAAATTTTCCTTGAGAAATTTACTAAAATCAATATGAAAATAAATGGTAATAGCCAGAGCTTGCAAAGGAATAAAAAATACAAAAAAAAAATTAATTGAAATTAATTTCGAAGTAACATCTTATTTAGTTTAATTTTAAATATATTACAATGATAATTATTTGGATTAAAATAATTTGATACTAGGCTTATTTATACCTTATTCTAATTTTTTTTAATTAGGAAGATCTTTTAAGTTTACAAATATTATCCATTAAATAATATAGAATAAAGTTTTATTTTTTAGATTGAATACCGAAATATTTTATAGCCAATCTCATTTATTGAAATGAAATAATTTTTATGGCTTTTTAGGGGTGTTGATTACTTATATAGCAAAATTATTTTCTGATTAATATTAAAATCAAGTAATTTAATTCAGGTCACTAGATTGATAAGATTTCAACTTGAATAGTTGTTTTATATTTTTAATTGTGAAATTTGTAAATTATTTATGGAAATAATGAAAGATTATTATTTTACCTTTAAATAATCTACCTAAATAAACTCATGCGTTATTTTTTAGACTTAGCAAGTATATAAAATTTTGAAAAAATAATTTACTTTTTGGATAATTAAGGAAAATATGTTGAAATTTTACTAAAATTAGTAAGAAAAAAATAATTTTTCAACTAATTTAGTTGAAAATAAATTCTTAAAAATAATAGTCTTAAGCTAACGCAAAATTAATTAGGATGCAATTAATAATAAATAATTAAGCTTTAGGATTAATAAATTTTGATAAAGTTATTTTATTATTGGAGAAGCTGGTGAGGTACTCTTGAAATAAGATGATGGATCTTTTCAAAAAAAGAACCTATTTTGATGACACACACCAGAGAAGTTGAAACAAAGGACCATTTTTATTAAAAAGTAAATTATTAAGTGCTGGTTTTAAAGCAGTTTGTTGATGTAGGGTACCTGCCAAACGACAATTTAGGGCATCCTTTAAAAAGCCCTTATCAAAGGCTAATAAATGATGACCACTACTTTAAGACCAGAATAAGTGATTTTAATTAAAAAATTTGTTTTTTTTTGGGCAAGGGTCCCATTTGTGCTTAATGACACCTTTTTAATTAGCCTGCTCTGTTAACCACCCTCGGTTTTACATATCAACAAGAATGGAAGAATAAGTTATTCGGAATGAGAAAATAGATGCATGAATAGAAAGCCAGATATATCTGGAAGAATGCCCTAACTTAAACAAAAAATTATGAATATTAGGAAATTAGTGCTTCAATAATTGCTTAAGGTTAGCCTAGAAATTAAAGAAGACGCAACTAATAAAAAAAACTGTAAAAATATAGAACTTAATCTTAAGTTCTTGATGCCTTCTATCAAATCAAAATTTGGTGAATCGGAAATTTTGTAGAAAAATTTTTTTGCTTGATAATTTGAATAAAAATCAAAAGATTATACATATTGAATCCAACTTAGCAAAATTGATGCCAAAGATCTTAGGCTTACTATTATACAAAACAGATAGAGGGGTTGATTTAAACCTTACCTGTCTAGGACTAAAAAGAAGGTTCACTACCCTACATCTAACACATAATAAACTTTAAGAATTGAAGGGAATTTGCGAAAAATTAGGATTATTGTTAAGAAAATAGTATACTAGTCAAGGTATTTTAAATAAATTATAAAAATTAAAAATATTAGGTTTTAGAATAAATTGAAAATTATTAAAATTAATAGAAAAACATAATAATCAGTCAGTACTCAAAATTAGTTAGACAGTTAATTTAAAATTTTAATTATAATTTATAATACATTAATATTAATGTTAATCAACTAATAAGGGAAGTCATATGGGAATATAACATTCATGAAAACTGGATTATGTTCATAAATACGAGTATTTCCAGTCAATAAGCTAGATTATTCGTTTCTACATCTATCTCTGCAGTGAAATTAAATTTACATCTTATGAAATAAATTAATAACTTGCTATAAGTTAGGCTATAGAGGAAATTTATGGATAAATTGAGTAGGCATATGAGTTGGTCTTAAAGTACACTCATAACTTAGGTTATTTGGAGAATTCAGCTAATAAAAAGAATTAGGCTAAGATTAGATTCAGCAACAAAGAATCAAAAACTTAGAAGGTGGCATACTAACTTAAATGTATAATCCTAAGCTAGATGATATGAAAAAAAGCAGTTTAAGCACAATAACAAAAAAGTAGGCACAACCAATAATCGTTTGTTATAATAGTAAGACAAAATTGCCTATAGAATTAAAATAAATTTAATATACTGTTAATATATAACCTGGTTTAGCAGTAGTGCATCTATGTTAAATCTATTCAACTGAATAAAAACAAAGAACAATGTGAATTAGAATACTTGTTTACAATAGATTAAAATTCAGCTGTTACTAAGATGATAGTTGAACTTGGAGATTAAAAAGTTTATGGAGTTGTAAAAGAATTTGAAGAAGCAAAAAAAGAATATGAAAAGGGAAAATAAGAAGGAAAGACAATGGTATTAAGCTCAGAGGATTCAAAAATATCAAATATCAAAAAAGTAAAAATTGGTTGTTTAAGTCCTGGTAATTTATTAAAAATTTAATTTGAATACATCCAACAATTATAAGTATTTCTGAATTAATTTTGGAAATTAGAATTGTCTTCTATGGTAGATACAAGTTATCTTGCAGTTAATAAATTAAAGAACACATCGAAAAATTACGCTTAATAATATTTTTTTTTGAAAAACCATGTCAACATTTAAGCAATGAAATTAAATTATAAGTAAAATATTACTGTAATAATTAATATGTAAAAACCTATTACATATGCTAAATCTCCAACACACACAATTGTATTAAATTCTGTTATTAATGTCAAAGAAAAATAAATTGATTTATAAACTCCATAGAACTAATTGATTATTACTTTAGATACGAATGATCCTGAAAATATGGCACCAAATAAAAAGTTTGAATTATTATTTTCCTCCAATGATGTTAATAACCCTTATGCAATACTAAGCCATACAAATAATGATGCTTTATAACAAATTAAATATTGTGCTACTCTAACCCTCATTCCTAAATTTAATGAATTTCCAATAGATGATGCCTATCAATCATATATTAATGGTTTAAATTTATCTTAATATACAAAAATCTAAAAGGGTTGTTATTTATTTTTTATTGATCGTAGTGGTTCAATGGAAGGGATAAGAATTGAAAAAGCCAAACAATCACTGATAATGTTTCTGAAGAGCCTTCCAGAAGATTGTACTTTTAACGTTATTTCATTTGGTAGTGATGTAGAAAAGATGTTCCATATTGAACAAGCATATAATTAACATACACTAAATTAGGCAATAAAGTAAGTTCAAGAAATGAATGCAGATTTGGGTGGAACTGATATATTAAAAGCCTTGAGCTAAGGCATTTATAATGAAAATTATAAAAAAA